CATTGTCTGACTGTCTGATCTCGCACTTGATCACTAAACGTAGCCTCATTTCAACAACACCTCCGGACATGTGACGTTGCCTCAGAGCAAGTCCTCGGCCATCCGTGCATTATACGTCTTCTGAATCCATGCGTTATACTGTACAAACCTCCGTATTACTACGTCACTAACTTCGTTTTCTCGGCCTCAAGACTACCCAGACTACGCAGCCTCGATTGCGGAGATGCCAGAAGGAAATCAGCAGTGTGCATGAAAGCTCCCACCAACACCCCTCTCGGTAAACGCCACGGGCCCAACCTCAAGCTTCCGTTCAGGTTGGTGTGTCGGGGTCGGAGCGTCCCTTCCACCGTCACCGTGCCATGACACTAGCACACGCCACAAGCTCGCCGGGTGGCAACATCATAGCGACTGTCCATGCGTATATCCTCCGATGCAAAAGCTATGTGATGGTGTATGCGCATGGATAGCTGTGTTTATGCGCATGAGTATGGGTGCGTCATGGGATGAGTTTTTGTGCTTTTCGCAATTCATGGGATTGTGGGATCGAGATCTCAAAGATGGTGTTGGTAAATGATGTAATTTGAAAACGAAATGTCTAAACCGGCAGAACTGGACAGACACATGTAACTATGGGCTCGCGATTTGAGAGTGCTTGGACTTTTGATTGCGCGAATCTCATGTTCCTGTTTGGTAATGGTTTTGCAACTCTAGACTGCTCAACAGGCATTCAACGATGGTTTTACAACAACTGATTTTGTTTAGACTTGGATGGCTATCCCATTGAAGAGAACAAAGCGGTTGTGATTCCCACGGTCTCTGGTGATTTGGATGGAGATACATGGGAAACCCATGTATCGACCCGTTACGTGTTTTGAGAAGTCTGGAGGCAGGTATGTGCGAGCGCACACATCTACACATGTTCAAAGTCGAAATAAATTTTGAGGAGTCGTTGGAGCAGACGAGGCAGCAACATGAACTCTTCAATCGTGCTTTTTGATAAAGTCGGCTGCACGAGGAGTGATGAGAAGGGTGGCCATGGATAGTTGAGAGGTATTTATACCCCAGAGATCTTCATCGATTTCCTCTCGAACTTTGAAACATCTTCGTAGGAGTATTTTGACCACAGAGAAGTCATCACTTTATCGCATCGCTGTTTTGGTGGTCTTCAACTCACAAAGCCATGGAGGTTAGTCGGGATCGCTTGAGTCCGGATATTTGCAAGTCTTTTCTCTCGACCCAGGACATGGATTTCCAGGGTGCGTTTTTTGAACTTGGTGAAAGCATCTCAAAAGCATGATATCTCTGTGAAAAGTATGGTCCTCTCGTCTGCAAACTGGACACATACATGTTGAGTGGAACCATTTTGACAATTTCCAGGGAAGGAAGAACATAACATCACTTTGATGTCTTTTTGGAGCAGAATGGTAGTAGATGGTGTAACGAAGAATAGAGAGGAAGCTTCGGGTGGAGTTTATATATTGGCTCAGCAACGCTAGCTAGAGCTCATGTATTCGCAGAACGATCGGCAGGACACATAAAAGTCTCTGATCAGTTTTTTGGAGTCCTCCAGGGAAGTGGACATGCAGTCTTTTTGGTCGAATTTTGGAAGTATGATGCTTTAGTGGTATTGTAATGAATAAGAATGGTGAAAGGACTGGAACAGTGAGTTTATATTGGAGCCGTCATTCTGGAGCCCTTTGAAGTCAATCGATGGTCGAGACGCTCCCATGAACTCTGCAAACGCCCGTTTTGATCTCTCAGGGGCGAAGGAACATGAACTCAAAGTTATCAAATTTTGGAGAGAGGTAGCAGAGACTGAGATACGAGGAGAATGTACCCTCGAGGGGAAGGTTTTGTGCAACGAGAGGATATTGCGCTAGCTGCATGTCGTTGGCATGGTGGTAAAGTACGTTGACTGGAGTACTCCATTTTGAATGCCATCTCATCTTGAACTTTTCGCGGTCGTGTTCGCAGTACGCAATGCTCGCTCATGATTAAAACTGTAACTCATATTTCCACAACGCTCATCTTCAAGACAAGACCACCAACCCAACCGCGTGACACCCTCGATGACCCCCTTCCTCCCACCTCCACTCTTCCGATATCACCCATCCAATCCAAAAACCAGGTCCCCCCTCGCAACCCAACCTTCCTCGTACAGCCTACCGTACCCATACCCTCAAATCTCATGCCAAACATCGCATCTAAACGCTTCACTCAACCGCCACCCACTACCCATCATCTCCGACCCAAGACACCAATCGGAGTCCACGGCCCACCCCTCACACAAACCCGTTGCCTCACTTCCACCACCTGCCTCCACCGTACAACCTCGCACCTATTACGCTCATATCTCGTGAAACCGTGGCCGCCTTTGTGGACTCATGCATAACACCGCACCAGACTTGATGGGCGATACGGAGTGAAGTGGCACGAGATCGTTTGTGTTACCGTCGGTCAGGATCGCTGGGAATGGTGGAAAGCACTAGAGTGAGAGGCGCTGGCGCTGGCGTATATGCTCGAAGCGGTGAAACATGCGTGATTTGTGTATTTGTATGTGGGTGGGTGGTGCAATGTGTTTCGTCGTGTTGCTTTTGCTTTTTGGGGATGGGTGGTGCGAGATATATTGCATGGTAGGACGAGATTTCGGGGGATGGCTGGGCCACTCCGAGGAGCGATGGAGCTTGTAAAAGGGTCATGACGATGTAACTGTAATTTCGTTAGTTGATAGTGTAGTCGCTTCTTGTAGTCGTGGTTCCATGAACTGAGTAGCTGTGAGGTCTCATTGATGCTCCCGATACGATTGAAGTATCCAGGATGCTATTTCTACATGCTGGTAGCCCAGTGTAGCTGGAAAGCTTGACCTGAGAGTGTCAAGCTCATGGTCAACAGCTTACACTACTATGCGGTATCTTTGGTAGGCCATGTGAGGCCCCTATAAAACCGATGGTGTTGTTAGTCGGCGAAAGGTGTTAGACGCTGACGCAGTATAACGGTCGTTCGTACCACCGCATTGAGCTATCGTCGGTAGCATCCTTCCGTATGTTTAACGACACCAACGGCATCGGAGACATATACTCGCCGGAAAGCGGATTCGGAGACTTCTTCCCATCTAGCCTACCTCTTCGCCCACCGATAGCTCCCGTCTTGCAACGACAAAAATCCGCGCCGGTCTCCTTCTCGTACCTATATCAAACAAAGTATATGTAGCATTGCGCTTCACTCTGAGGATCAACTTACCCTACTCAACAGCTACACTCCAACCCCACCTTTTGCACTACCAAGACCATCAACCATGACCGAATCCTCACCTACCAGACCTCCTCTTCCGGCGTTCGACCCGCAGAATTGTCAGACGTACGCAGCGAGTTGCCACTGCGGTAGCGTACAGTACTCGGTCTTGCTCTCGCCGCCGCTGGCCCAGTGGAAGGTTGTATCGTGCAACTGCAGCATCTGCACGCGGAACGGCTACTTGCTCGTGTACCCCGAACGGTCGCAGCTACAAGTAAAGAGCGGTGAGGACATGTTGAGAGACTATTCCTTTGGTGTCAAGAGGGTTCTGCATAGGTTCTGTAGTAGGTGTGGGAGTGCAGTCTGGCTTGATCCTAGGATGTGCGAGTTTGGAGATGCGCCGCCAGATCTGCTAGGGATGAATGTATGTGGTGTCCGTCCCATGAGGGTGTCAACGCGGAGGGTTCGAGGCTAACCAGAGCAGGTTCGCATGTTCCATGGTGTTAAGGCGGAGGAGTTGGACATTGTCCATGTTGAGGATCGGAATCCATGAGGTTTAACACATGGGAGGATGTGCGGTATCAGAATCTACGCCGCGGGATAAACGAAGACATGCATGCTCTTGGCCGCGCAAGATTTTCTGCGCGAAGCGCAGCTATTCGCGATGTGCTCTGATCGAAGTGCATACAGCTTTACCAAATACCACAATATACCAAAGAGTGATGTATTGTGCTTTGAGTCTGGGTATCTTGTTTGCTATCTGGGTTCCCCCCCTCCCCTGTACACCCTGCCTTCCTTCTGCCTGTGTGATAGTGCACCAAATACTTGGATAATGATAGAGTTTCACTTTTGCATGTTAGTATATCTGCGTGTATCTGAACATATCTGTGCATACCTGTGGTTTGATGAACGTCGGGAATGTCACCGACACTGAGCCTCCGGCAGCATTCAGTCCTTGACATACGTGCATCTGACCGCCGTTATCACGGCTGCGGCCCTGAACTCGAGGGGTCACCATATCTGTGGTGACATCTACTTACTTTAGCATACCTTCATACATATTGTGCACATATCACTTACCTCGCGGATGCGCGTTGTCGAGAGCTTTAGAAGTCAGATCGTGTACCTTGATGATGGCGGTGTGGATGATGATGAGCGAAGCCGCAATAGCGGCGAACTTGAGGGTGTTTTCTGATGGCATATTGATCGGTATAGATACACCCTGGCTGATTTGGATAGGTGGTGATATCGCGTGATGGGAAGTGAAGCTGGAGTGAAGTGTAAGAGTGAGAGAGTGAGGTTGCAAAAGGTGAAGGTTGTGTAGTTTGATATGCACCGAGCTAGCAAACGGACGGTGAGCAAACGCCCGCGCTCACACCGTGTTCTTTGAGCATATGCATGAAGCAAAGAAACATGTTGCGGAGCTCCTGATATTTTGGAGAGAGGTAGCAGAGACTGAGATACGAGGAGAATGCATCATTGAGGGAAAGGTTTTGTGCACCATGACAAGACGCGTGAAGGCCTCAATAGTGAAAATATGGAGAGTGCTTGCGGTGCAGGCATCGTCGCGTTCATAGCCCGAAGACGGCGCGCACTTGGTGATGGTGTTGATGAGGCAGGACGCGAAGTCCACCTGTCCAGGTGTTCGTCAATGCCAAGCCGCTAACCTTCAGCCTCGGTGAAGTGATCCCTGCCACCAATTCGCGATATCTCCATCATCGAAGCTTCCCAAATCTCTCAGCAATTGCTACCTGCAGCCGACGGTCAGCATGTCACGAGCGCGCATTGTTCTCAATCGCGCACCTTTCAAACAATCCTGCCAATCCGCCAGCCGAAACTTCCGCTCCGCCAGCTACCATGCGCATCGCGATGTTCCCCTCCCCCTCCAATCCCGTATCCGCTGGTCATACTTCTGGTACGCCAGCATACTCGCGCTCGGCATCACAACTGGTCTAGGTGCTCGCCACTTTGCCGCGCCTCTCGGTCTCCCAGAGCCCGGCTCAAGAGAAGACGAAATCATCCTCGACTCTCTGCGGCGCGATATCGATGCTCTCGAAATCGTGCAATCTTTGCGCTCTCAGTCATACAACCTACATACCGACACAGCGCTCCGGTCAGGACCGGGAATAACGTCGTCTCCTGGATCAAGTCGGAAGATATCAGCGTACAAAGGGTGGCTCGAGCTGGATCTGGACTTCGGGAGAGAGAATGAGGGCAAGAAAGGCATATTGGGCGTCATGAGTGGGACGCGAGGCTTGGGCGTACAAAGAGCATTCTGGAGTGCCGAGACAAAAGAGATGGTGGCTGTGGTCTGGATAGGAGGAGGAATGAGTGGGTGGCCCGGTGTTGCGCATGGCGGGGCTATCGCAACCATCTTTGAAGAGATCATGGCGAGGATGGTCAGAGGTCCAGATGGCATTGTGGGTGTGTATACCGTCTCCAGCAACTCAGAGAGTGGCCTCATACTAACACTTGAGATAGAACCAGTCCACCGTCCAGACTCCCTCAGCCTGATCTACGCCAAACCAACCTACAGCCTCGACTTCTACATCCTCCGTGCCTCCTTCTCGAAACCTGACCTCCCCCAATCCGAGCCGCCGCCAGAACCCGAAACGGAACCTACAAAGAGCTGGTTGGGATGGTTGTCACCGCAGAAGGATCTGACGAAGAAGACCGACGCGTCGAGACATAAGCAGGAGATTGTTGCGACGCTGGAGAGTGTCGGTGGGGACCTTTGTGTCAAGGCCAAGGGCACGTTCAATGGAGGTAGCCCCATGGTCTGAGGGGTTGCGGTGGCACCTCGTTCAAGGAAAAACCTGAACACCCTGGAGCCTACGTTGACGTCAGATCATCTATTTTAGATGATTTTGTCTAGATGTAGGCTGCAGGCCTGTTCAGATTTCCTCTTGTATAAGGTAGTGCCCTCGTACTAGTGATAAGATAAGAGAAGGCCCGAGATGGACGGAAGGGATCTGACTTGATGGGATACTTGAGAGTCGACACGCAAGCTGAGATACCCAATAGCGAAATGATGAGACCAAAAAGGTCACAAGAGATGTCACGATACCTGGGCTCGCAGCACGTCTGATCAAGCAAGAAACACCGCTCCATGTTACAAAAAGAGACGGATGTTCACTTGCATGGGCAAAAAGGAACAAAGCAGACCCCTCACCCTGCACATGCCGCGTACCACAACAATCAAAAAGATAGCTTCGAGGTCCACGCCTACATTTCAAGACCTGGGCAAAAAGAACAAAAACATACAACAGCGGGGATTCGCTAGTGGTCACCCACCTAACTACTAATCCGCCGGTACAATGCTTGTATATGGCTGAGCGGACGGGAAGCGTAATTCTCATTGTCCTATGGTCGTATGTGAAGGAATGAGCAATCTGTCTAATTATCTACTCTCGTACCACTCCATACTTCATACCGCAAGTTGAGTACGACAAGCTCGGCTCTTTAGCCTTGACCTGGGCCCCGTACTGACCTGGACACAGACACAATTTCAAGTCTTGTTGACACGTTCAGAGATGCTTCTGGTACCGAATGCTCGTACATGAAGGCACCTTCACCACGGCTCCCATAGTAGCGCGCTAGACCGGCACTAACGCAGGTCAAAAAGTTTAGCGCAGCGGCCCTGCTGCCTCTAGAATCTATACTACCACCGTGTACTCAAGTCGACACTGTAATGTTGATAGATTGACTGGAGTTTGCTTCCTGGAAGTGATTGCCAAATTAGGCGATCCGTGAATGCAAAAAGATCGCGCTTGCTACATCGGAACGTGCTTGCCTGGTGGCTAGTGGCTCCTGCTTCATTGCACCTACCAGCACCCGCCAGAACATGCTTCCATGGTTCAACTCACACTCACCACCCTGTTTGCACTCTTCACCTCTCTCTCTCGCTGCTGTTGCCTAGGCCTCTGCGATGCTGCGTCTGGTCGCCGCACTCCACATCTGCACCCCGACGACATACTGATCCGACTATCCTCGCTCTCTCCCAACATTCGTTTCCCGTATCACGGCCAATCACGAACTCCGGTCGGCCTACCGACACCCCGAACCATACGTTTACAAACGACAACACGACCTCGAGATCCGTTCTCACACGACAAGGCGATATGTATCTACCACGGTGCGCCCAAGCTTTGTTGGCAGCTGGCCTGCTGCTATTGTCTCCGGCCGGCTCCGTCAACGTAGACGAAGACGGTACGTGGGTGGTTGGAATCATCGATGGCGACAAATGGCAAGTCAGAGACGACAGACAGCCATCTCTCTACACTGCCGACTATGGCGACTGCCTAGGCAAGAGCGCCATCAACGTTACGCGATTCGACGCAGCCTACTACAAAGACAACATGACCATCATCTTTCACCTGGAAGGCGAGACTGGGCTCCGAAGAGAAGACATTATGATGAATATCGGCGTTTACGCGTACGGCGAGAGTCGATTCGACCTGACCTTCAACCCTTGCGACGCCAACATACTCAGCGCTTGCCCCGTCAAAGCCGGCGTTCCGATCGAGGCGGCGGGCATCATACCGATCAATCAAGACGACGTCGCAGGGATCCCAGAGATTGCGTTGAGCATTCCCGACTTCGAAGGCCAGGCCATCCTGCGACTGTTCTCCAACTCCACACAGAACGAGGGTAAGTAGCCGCCACGAATAGCTCTCAAGATATCTTGCTAACTTATTACTAGTATGTAGCTCCCTAGCTATGCTTTGCCAACGCGGTGCTCAGACATCTTACTATTCGTATTCGTGCTAACAGCTTGACAGATCGGCTGTTTCGCGGCCCAGATCACCAACGGCTTCACATTCCAGCAGAAGAGCTCAGTGGGCTCAACGTTAGGGCTCTTCACTCTCATAGCCGTCGTTTCCTCGTTTGCTACAGCCGCCTACGGATCCAACATCGTCGAGATGCGCAAGCATTACGCCCATTCGCTGTCAGTGTCTGTGGTCTTCGCGGTATGGCACCACATCTTCTATAGCGGAGCGCTCTCGGTGAACTGGCCAAGCGTCCTCGTGGCCTTCTGGAGCAACTATGCCTGGGCTGGGGGTATGATCTACTCTGAGCCAATGCAGAACACGATCAACGATTTCATCGGCTCGAACAAAGGAAACACATCGCATGTCGGCGCCGCGGGTACGGGCGAAAGCAATCCTCATCTTGGAGGAGGGGTCGACATCCACCAGATATACAAACGAGGAGTTCTCCCTCAGGGTCTGAATCTCCAGTCTGCGCTAGCAAAGCGCCGTCTCATCGACGCGAGCACCGGATTCAAATATTACGGACTGCCCGTAAAGCCTGGACTGCCACTCCCGGGCAACTATTCTGGATTCGCTGGCACCCTTGCGACGGAACACATCCCAGCAAGCAACGCCTTCATGACCGGACTGCTCTGGTTCTTGATCTTGGTCGCATGCGGTGTTGTCTCTGTACTCTCCCTGAAAGCTGTCCTCGAAGGCTTGAGTAGCATACGCATTGTCAAAAAGCACCACTTGGCCTCTTTCCGAAGCCATTACCTTGCGTTCGCTCTGTCGACCATCCTGCGGACAATATTCATCGGATTTTACATGCTGACATTCCTGGCCATGTTCCAGTTCTCCTACCTAGCTCTTTCTGGTCCTGTTGCAGTCGCTTGTGCCGCTTTCTTTGTCATAGTCTTTGGCACAGGCAGTATCGCCGCCTACGCTTGTTTCTCCAGACTTCGGATCGGCAAGTATGCCTCGGAACCCGATCGACTAAACGTAGTCAAACGAAGATTGCACAAGATCATTCCATGGTTCAGCATTTCCAGAAACAGCAAAAATCCGCGCTCCGAAGACGAGACCTACATCGGTTCAATTCCTTGGTGGACGATACACGCTACGGCGGATACCACATCAATCCATGATGACGAGCGGTACACAACAAAGTTTGGTTGGCTAGCCTCTCGCTACAGGAGGACTCGTTGGTGGTTCTTTGTCGTCTGGCTGTTCTACGAATTCGTTCGAGCATGCTTCCTTGCCGGCGCATCGACTCAGCCCTTCGTCCAGGTCTTCGGCCTACTTGTCGTTGAGATTGTTGCCTTCATCGCCTTCACTATCCTTCGCCCCTTCGAAGGACAGCGCCTGAACGTTTTGGCCGTGTATCTTCTCGGCTTTAGCAAGATTACTACTACAGGTCTTTCGGCAGCCTTTGATACACGGTTTGGAATCGCTCGTATCCCTACAACCGTTATCGGCATCATCATAATCGTCATCCAAGGTCTCTTGACGGTGGCTGTGATGGTTTTGATCCTGGTCGGCGCTGTCTCAAGCTACCTGTCCATCTTGCGGAACCGCGAACAAATGGCGCCGTTGAGCTGGAACCCGATGCGTGAGAAGTACTTTGCGCATATCGATTTCGCAGTGCAAGACACTCCGCGACCACGTGCGGTGTCGATTAACTCGATGCCAGAGTTGCCGAAGACACCGTACTTTGAAGTGCGACATGTGAAGCGGATAGCCAAGGTTGAGGACGAGGATGACGAGTTCATGCGAGAGATGGACAGCGATCATGCGACATCCGAACTCTTGCTGCCTGAGCAAAGTCACGATACTCCCACAGACCGGCCCGCCCAACGGCACAGGAGTGCAACTCTCCAGTCGCAAGCATCTTACTCAAGTCTACCCAAGGCGGCTCGCCTGCATCGCCCCAACTGGAGCAGACACGGGTACAGCGATTCGATGAGTCCTGGACGCCACAGGGCTTTGAGCGAAGCTCATATGAAGACTCCCAAGCAAAGTCATGAGACGATCGATACGTATCCAAGTCCACTTGGCATTCATCCTGAGGGGCCCATGACTCCAGCTCTTTCTTCTTCGGCGCTCTCAGACGCAGGCAATGTCGTCACCCCGGATAAGCAAGCAACAAGTCGAATGAGATTAGTCTCACGATCGAGCTCGAGGCCCAGACTGGATACTAGGATCACCGAGGAGACTACTATACCTCCCGTTCCGAAGAACAAAATTGCAAACTGAGCCCAGAATCATACGGAGCAGTCATACCACCGACATCAACAGCAGCAGAGACCTAAACGCCGAGTACATCCTCATGCAACAGCTTTCGATCAGCTTACCCAGTATGATGCGACGGTATATGAAGACACGTCAACCAAGAAAAAAACCGAACAGGTCTGCAGCCTACATCAATCTGAAAACCTACGAGATAGGTGACCTGACGTCGGCGTATGCTCTTGACCTGTTCGGGGTCTTTCTTGTATGAGTTGAAGAGCTCAACGAATTCCCGTAAACATCGCATCGATCATCGAACATCGCTTCGGCACATCTGTATTGGTCTTTCAACGCAGCATCAGCAATGAATATCCATGATTCTTCGACAACACCCCATATACCCACAGCAACAAGCAGACGACATTTCCTTTTCCATTTTCCTCAGCAGCATGACGTTAGCAGTATCTGCATGGCTTCGCGACGGGAGAAAGAGCATCTCGGCGCTTGATTTACGATGTTGAATACGGCATGTTTACGAAGTGTATGAATAACGAACAAAGCCGGAAAGTAGCTAGACGAAGGCAGAAGTGGCAATGCGCATAATGGAACAAAGATGATGATGAAACATTGCGTCGCTGATGGTGGGCTATGCTACCTTTGGTGAGGTTGGTGCATGCATGCGTGATGTGTGGTGTTGGCCGGTTAGACTCCACTTGTACCAACTTTTTTCCACGAGCGTCGAGCGGCGGCCCGCTCCTTGTGCGCAGAAGTCCGATGTCAGACATTGCGACGGCGCGTCACCAGCCACACCATACCAAGGGACCTCAACCAGCGCTAAACCTTCTCACCGCAAACATGGGTGCAAAACAATAAATCCTGAAACGCCCATGAGCCATGTCGGCTCCCAGCCGCTCTGCTTAATCTTTAATCTCCACGACAGAGGGACATGGAGATTGAAAGCAAGATTGCGGTTCTGGGCATCGAGGGTCCGATCCAAGATCGTGTTTTGGTGTTAATTCCGATGTGCCAGGTTAGCCGTGCTATTTCCAGCAGATGCCTTGGAAAGATGCCATGGCCTCCAAGCGATATGAGCATGCGACCGGGCAGTCTAGACCACGATTTTTACTTGCAGTTGCTTGGAAAGCCTAGCTCCCGCGGTACGGATGATAACATGGGTTTGCGAAAAGGTGGTGAGACGTTGAGACGAAAACCCATGTGGCCCGCGTGCCGTTGCCCTGTTTGCTGAGATTGCCTGACGGACTGATGTCAATATGGGTGGATGACCCACGCACGCGTGTTTGAGCTGTGGCGTCACCTCATCAACGAGGCGAGAGAGCGGCTGGAGAAAAGGCAGCACGGGTTGGGTGGAGATTTGGAGCCGCTGTTGTTTGCAAGGATGCGGAAGAGAATTAGATGGGCCGCCACAGATGGCTACGTCACATTTACGGACACGGACGACGACAGTTCTGGGAATGTTGCAACGGTGGAGCCATGCCGGATAAGAGCATCTGGGGTGATCAAATATGGGTGGATGATGGCTACAGGTGAGGAGAAGGAGGTGGGCGGGCAGGCGTGGTTGGCACGATAACGGTGGTCTGGTGTCGCACAACGTCGAGCAGCGGTAGTGTGGGCGCACCAAATCAGCAGCATGGGCTTATCGAAAGTCGGTCTACCTGCTTCGGGGGCTGCCATGGCAAAGGCATCGCGATCGTGAGAGGCGGGCATTGCGTTGCCCATGGGCCCAGCCACGCGCAGGCTGCGATCGCTACTGCATCAGGGACGGGCAGTGACGTCGGCGCTCTTTAAGGTTGTGGCGCGCGACCCACACCCGACGTCGACGTCGCAGGGCCAACCCTGTTTTGCGCGACTGCTTTGAGCGCGTCCGCTGCCCATCCTTGCCGCATCGGGCGGCTTGGTTGGCGCAAACCTGACTTTTCCCGCTGACGTTGCGAGCTTGGCTGTTTGCAGACGCAGCACAGTCACCTGCAGGAATGGAGTTTGAGTCGGGAAATTTCGTTACGCAGGCCAAAGATTGAGGTGAAGGATCTGGAGGACAAGGGGGCACGGACGCCGCGTGACGTAGCCGTTGTGCAAGGGCGGTCGTTGTTCCGGCGCCTGGCTCGCGGCTGCTTATAAGTGAGAGGGCTCAAAGCCCTTTGTTGTGATACCACACTCTCCCCAAACCATACCATCTACCAACGAACCTACGAACAGTCGCCTCTCTACCTCGAGTCCTCCATCCACTACACCACCGAAACCTTCACCAGAACAACACCGCTATCATGGGTGCCGTCGTCTCTTGCATCAAGTCGGTCGTACGTATCCCTCACTCACCTTCTCATAGCGACCGTTCCTAACATTCTGTCTAGTTCCGCACCATCGGAAACTGCATCATGGCCATTGTCAACGCCATCGCTGCTGGTCTTAAGGCAATCATCAACGCCATCGTCTCCCTCTTCGGCATCATCATCAGCTGCCTCACCTGCGGACGCGGCGGCGGCCGAAAGAGGACAACGCATACTAGTAGAGTCTAGTGTGAACCCGTTTCCCACATGTCGCCGTACTGATCATTACTTCCCCTTGTGAAGGATGGCGCATGAGGAGATACGGGTACTACTAAGGCGCTATATCTACTACCCAACTACTACTACGACGACGAACGACGATCGCTCGACGGCCGTTACTTCTTCACTGCCAGGACCACACGACGATATACGCTTACAACTCGTCGCCGCGTGCTCTGCGCAGAGGAACGGACGGAGCGCGATTGTCTCTTTTCGGACGAGAGAGTGTGGATGTTTATACCCTATACTATACCCCCGGTATCGAGCAAGGAAGATGGATGCGGTAATGAACGAGACAGCAAGCATGGAGTTTGAGCGAACACTTTTTCCTTTTGTTTTGTACAGTCTGAGAGAGATGGATGCCAAAGGGTCGTGGAGAGGAAATCACTCTTGATCGATCACGGACCTGTCGCATAGATACCCCCAGCTTTCAATCAGACTTACTATAATACCCACACAACCGACTTGCTATGGTGATTGTTTTCATTGCGACATTGTTGACATGCAGTCACTTGCGGTGAACATAGACCGCCAGCAAACAAACATTACCACTGCGCCCTTCGACTCCATACCACCGCCCACTGCACCGGCTCCCCATTTTATCTTTTTCGTCACCATGGTTGCCCTGTTGCATTTGCATTGCAGGACGTCGACAGCGCAGACAGTGGAAACAATAGCGTCTGCGCCACACATGCGTAGTGCATGCGCTTGCATGACGCCGTTGAAACGCTGCTGGCACGCTACAGGAACTTTCCTAAACTAAGACCACTCCAGCACCAGAGCTAAAGCTGAACATCTGACTCTCTCGTGTGTCCAACAAACTCGAAAATGCGAATCTGCTGATGTCAATATGGATGTTGTTGCCGACGACGTCGATGTCGTTCTAGGTGTCGCCGCATACAAAGAAAAAGCTGAAAAGTTGCGCTGCTGTATACATTAATTCGAAAAGTAACATTTTCCCAGTGTGACGATAATGTAGGCTTCTGAGGTAGATGTTAAAATCTTTTGTTATGTGGTGCTCGTCAAGCCAATGACGGAAGACAATGTCTAGATATGTTTGTCGTTGTTCCCAGACAAAATCTCCAAGTAATAATGGCGAGTTTGATAACTTTCATATCGTCAAAGATGTTACGACCACTATCCAGCATATCAAACATTTCCCTCACTCGTCGCGACACCAAAGCTCAAGCACCTCTGTCTCTCTTACGCCATTCTCAAACCACCAACTCTACACAACACTCCCTCCCGCACCACACCCCACAAACGCGATTCCCAAAATGGACGCAGCAATGTTCCCACAACTCGCCTTCATGGTCTTCCTCGCCCTCATGGTCATTATGATCATCTTCTACTCCATCACATCCTTCTACATCCCCGCCATCAACGACCTCATCATTTCCGTATTCAAGCACATGCGACTGGCTCAACGTCAAGAAGCCCGGAACGCGCGTGAGGCCAACACAGGACATGAAGGCTGGATCACAGATGGTATGCACCCGATGTACAATATCCACGGCTGAAAGACTGACAACCTTACTAGGTATGAGCGGAGACATCCATTCGGCGCTGCATATTGGTAGCGGTGGCACACAGAATGCTCCGATCTGGATTTCGGTCTCGAATACTGATGGTGTGCCTCCTACTCAGCGTGGCGCAAGACGGGAAGCTCGGCAACAGGTATGTGGGCGCGGTGAAATTCGCGGTTCCTCAGGTTGACTGACGTGTAGAAGTGAGATGCTAGTCGGTAGCACGAGCATGCTTGGTTGATGGGGGGATGTATGGATGGCTCGGGGTATACCGCGATGCAGGGGAGGGTTAGAGATGAGGAGAGGCGAAGGAGCGTATTTGTCTTCAACATGTCATGCAGACGACAAGACTCATGATCGCGACCAAGACGTCGACGTGTATATACTTGCAGAGATATACAACGCACCGGCATCAATAGACCATCCTCATCATTCTCTCGTACCAACCACTCATCTCCCCTCCTCCTATCAGACCTACCCACCCCACCGCATAAACCCAAAAACAGCATTCAGCACCACCCCCATAACAACAGCAACCTGCCTCCTCCTCGTCCAAACGCCCTCCTCCCTAAACCCCCACACCAGACTTCCCAGCGGAAAGAAGAAGCCAGTCAAATACCCATACAACATATCGTCCAACCCCCCTTCTTCCACCGCAAACCCCGCGCCCCAGCCCGCATCCGTGCCAGCACCACCCGTCGCCCCAGCGCCGCCTGTAAGCGAAGCCGAGGGATCGTTGGCCGAAGAGTCCAGCCATCTGTCTTCCAAGACACGAATCTGTGCGGGCGTGGGCATCGTATCAGGGGTATGTGTAAAAGACAAGTTCTGCGTAAACGTCGCCCGTAGAGAAGCAATCTCATCCCTCGTAAACCCCGAACTCAGCAATCTATCAAATCCCTGAGCCTGAGGCACTGTATTCGCCGTATTCGTTGTAGCCGTCGAGCTACGTCTCCGTGCATTGTGGTCTATCGTCGTACTACTTGCGCGCCGTCCCGGTGTAGAATACGAAGATGTACTATAATGCGACTTCAATGCTATCTCTGTGTTCTGGGCGAGTGTGGCTTCGCTGGCGAGTTCGGGGGCGGAGAGCGCGTCGCCGAGGGAACAGTGGATGTAGTATTTCTTTGCTGAGGGGGGTATGTCTGTTGTTGTGCCGTATTCGATCGCGGGCGTTTCTCGTAGGGGTTGTTTGCCTTTGCTCTTGCTGACGTCTCCGCTACTGCTTCCCACTGCATCGCTATTCTTGGTGTTTCGAGGAGGCGGTGGTGGCGGTAATTTCAAGGATTTCGATAATGGCTCGGTGTCTGCGAGGACTTTGCCCGCGTAGATGAGGCGTAGGCGCGCCGAGGCATGTTCGGACGGGAGGTGTTGGCGGATGAGCTGTTTGAGGGAGAGGGTCGCAGTTGTTCGCGGGGTATGTATTGAAAGTGGGAGGTCCGGTACTGAGGCTGTGAAGCGTATGATGAGATAGATGAGTTGCTCGGGGAGAGCTGGCGCATTCGACATAACGTGGGATGTGGGAGGCTGCGGCGGCTACTTGGGGATTAAGGTGATCGTGAGCTATTGATTGGGAGGATCGTATCTGTATGGGGTCATAACGGTCGTAGCTTCATTATTCGCAATGGTGTGGTATGTCTGGTGGTGATCCTGCGGTTCGCGATGTTCGCGCTATCGACCATGCGACGCGGCAGCTCGCCCGGAGCTTAGCAGCGCTGAGGTCATTATATCCGAAGTGCATCCCGCCATGTTAACTGCCCCTCTTTAGCCATTCGCTACATCACCACTCCTCGCATCCTGATCAGTTGGTCGTACTGACTTGTTCTCAAAATGACGATCATTCACATTGTACTATTCGAGTGGAAATCCACGGCTTCCCCAGAGCATATCTCAGAAGTACCTCTATATTCATCTAAACATACATTCACATATACTGATACATCATAGGCTTGTAGCCGCATGCTCGGACTCAAAGAGCAGTGCATTCATCCAACTTCCCAGAAGCCTTACATCAAGTCCTTCTCAGGGGGCAAGAACAACAGCCCCGAAGGCCACAGCGTATGCCATATCCCGAAGTACCCTTGCACCTGCTGACATGCGCAGGGTAACTCAACCCATGGTTTCGTAGTGGAGTTTGAGAATGAAGAGGACCGCGACTACTATGTATACAAAGACCCTGCCCATCAGGAGTTTGTGAAGTTGGCTGGAGAGGTGGCGAATGGCGTCAAAGTCTTCGATTACGAGCCAGGGAAGATGTAGATGTAGTGTCAGTAGCGAATGAAGGATGCCACTGGCACCCAGTGATGCAAGCATGCTGCCGACTCGTGCAGGTCTGATGGTCTCCAGACAGCGTTGTTATTGAACCTGCAATGATAGTGTCGCAAGTGTATTGCAGGTACGTGGAGAAGCCAAATAGCAATCGTGCTACCGGTGGTGGTAATGATATTCGAATTATGTCATATGTATGTGTAACGCCGAAGATGCAACGCCGGTAATGCTTCTATAAGGTATAGTGATTGAATCATAAGGGTATCATGATACGCTGAAGGACTCGCCGCAACCGCACTGCTCCGCTGCTAGATGTTAGTCTTGGTTTCTCGTAGTGCATTGTGTCGGTACTTACTGATGTTGGGGTTCTTGAAGATAAAGCGCTCGTTCAGCTTGTCTTCCAGCCAGTCCATCTCGCTTCCAATGATGTTCAACAGCGCCTTGTTGTCGATCAGGACCTTGACGCCATCCTGCTCGACCTGCTCATCCAGCGGGCTTGGCTTGTCCACGTACTCCAAGTGATATGCTAACCCCGAGCAGCCCTTTGCCTTTGTGCCAATCCGGATAAGCTTGGGCTCTGGTAACTCAAGGAGTTCGCGGAGGTGAGATACTGCCGACTGTGATAGCTTGATGGTGGCCTTCCGTGGCCCGAAGTTGTAGCGACGCGGCCGTAACGGCTTGCTGGCACCGGCTGCCTGCTGTGGCTTCTGTGCTTCGCCTTCGGGTATGCTCACGTTCGGTTGCTCGGAAGGTGTCGCTGGGATGTGTTCTTGCGGTGGCAGTTGTGGGGTTTTCGCATTGTTTGCCTCGGCTGCTCCACCAGCTATCGATGTGTCGGGTACGCCAGCATTCCTTGGTGGCGGCTGAGGGTATAGCGACGAAGGATGATATGCAGTCGCCGTCTGCATCTGGCGCTTAGCTGACTGACGATACGGTATCGACGAGGCGAAAGTGCGCGCGCATTGCGGGCATCTGCGGGGAGTAGCCGAGGGGGCGGCGAATCGTAGGAATGTCGAGCTGGAGCGCGCAAAGGCAGTGGTGGTTCGAGGCAGCGACATAGTCAAAGGGCGAGAGGTCCAAGGAGTGCTGTGCGTGGACTTGGTAAGGCGCGCGTGTTGAGTGAATAGATGGCAAGGTACGGCTGGTGCATTGTCACTAAATTCGCCGAAGCCTATGTCATCCGCGGCGATTTCCGGGGCAATTTGACACGATTATAAAGCACGTGCTGATTGGCTGCCAATCTCCCGAAGGTTCGGAACTTCGGAATCACAGGTCACACCATCATAAGCCCACCTCGAAAGTTCACCTGGGCACCTTGTCTTCAAACAAGCCGCCCATTGTAGCCTACCCAGGTACCTGTGAACTCTCTCGTATGTCTGATCGCGTAGCTTATTGACTTCGCGCACTATGTAACTGGTTCGTCCCGCTCTGCGTGATCGCAGTCAAGTCGATGGTAATCCTGATCCATGGATTGGTGCTGCTTCGCCCGCGAACAACATCGGCCAACCACGGATCATAGCAACAAACTCGTAATTGTGGTATCGAGCATTTCCAATGGGTCAGCCACATGAATGCAACAGCAAATTTTCAATGAGTATAAAACAGCGTTCTCGTCCTCGTCCTCATCTCCGTCCTCACCACCGCCTTCAACACCAGCGACACTACACATAAGAAACAACGCCGCTCGAAGAACGACTCTACCCTCGATGCCCACAAATGGCCGCATCCACCATGCAGAATACAGATAAGTCTCTGTTGATGGCCTTACCAACCGAACTGCGCTGTTACATCTACGACTACTTCCCCGAGCGTGTTTTCAAACATGTATTCCCCACGCCAGGTATTGGCACCTGGGCGGAACTTCGAATGCCGACCGCCCTACTTCAAGTGAACAAGACGATTCTCGACGAGGCTCAACAACACTTGAGGACGAGGAATATGCAGAAGTCCCCTAAAGTTACAATCGGCCCAGTACCCAGGTCTGTCGCAAGGGAGGCTATGTTTACCTTAATATCAGACATATTCCACGAGGCTAGGAGACAACGCTGTACATTGTTAGCCCAACCCCAGAAACCGGGGGACGACAACGGAACCAAACTCATCAGTCTCGTCCTCGCATCCTGGTACAACGAAATCATCCTGCCGCTACTGCTTTAGAACCCTAGCCTGGGCGATGATAGTAAGGTCCACATTCAAAGAGAATGCACAGCCGAGGAACTGCATCCATTCGTAGGGCACACTTTGAGAAGAATGGAACGGAAAAGGACCTGCGAAATCAGCATACGTGTGTTGTTTCCCGACGACGACGATGATGGCGACATGGTGGGTTACATGGTGTATGAATGGGACCGTGTGAAGGACATCACACGACTAGCGCTAAGCGCCCGACCGGGTCTTCCACTGAAGGTTATACCTCTGCGTTGCCGTCACAGGCATGAGCTCAAGCACGAAATGAAGATGTACCGAAAGATGGATTTGAAAATTAGAAAGATGCTTTCGAGCATCAAAATTGGAAAGCCAACGGCCCAGGATCTGATACTCTTCAGGATACCCAATCTGCAGACAGTCGAAGCCACTGACGAGCAAGAGGTCAACTCGCCGATACCTAGTTGAATCGAGCTCAGTCGGTAGCAAGAGAGCCCATACATCTCATACAGTCTCGATCGCACGGCATGTCTTACTAGCGTAGCTACACTTTGTGTCGCATCCGATAAAAACGTTATCAAAAAAACTATATAGGCAGACGCCTACATAACCTTAGGAACTGCTCACTTCTTAACATTTAATAGCATGTATGCAGCAATATATCACATACTTCTTAGATACCTTGCTTGCTTGCTTGGCCCGTATTTAGACTATTGATTAATACAAGTAGTTCTAAGTCCCTGTTCGAAAATTACTTGTAGCAGAAGTATACGTTGTCTTTAGAAGTCTTTACTTGTTAACAGATAATAGTATGTATGCGGCAAGTGCGGTTTACATTCCAACCACCTTTGACGTATGCCGGGCTAGGAAACCACTGAACATATACCTGCCGGGAGTCTACATTGCCCTAGAGTCTCACACAAATTTCATTATTGTACTAATGTAGGCGGTAGAGCCCCTTTTGAGTTTATTCCTTGTAGAAGGTAGTTAGGCAATCAGCTGGGCCTCGCAACGCGACTTGGCACGCGACATCGAATGTGCAAAGGATATGTTCGTGCAAGTTTGACGCTAAACTCTTGGTCGTCAAGTCCGTGGTTTTGATAGTACCTAGGTATACTACCCGGGTATCGCACGAAGTCGTCACAGCTAGCATAGCAGACTGCCATATCCTGAACTGGTAAGTAGGTCATTTGCTAGAAACAGACTATCCAAGCTTCGATTAACTAGCTTCGACATCACAAACGACTCCGGAAGAGACATAGGGCCTAGCCAAGGTCTCAAGGGAAGGAGAAGATAGACACCACCAGCATCGTCTATGAACCTTGGAACACATTCGAAACAAAGACGGTTGACTCATCTTCGAACGCGACTTCACAGCTGCGCGTGGATACAGAGCACAAATGTTTGCGAGGGGATTGACGTATCAAGACTGGTAGTATTTTATAGACGCGCTGAGTTCACGTATGTGGTGACCGTGAATGTTGAAGAGTGTTCCATAGCCGTGGAAACGTCTGCTTGTTGCAAGCTGCGTAAGCCGCTGCTTTTGACTTTTGCTGCCGATGGAGGTAAATACCATCCGTGTTGCATGCATTCTACAAACGTATTATTAACATTACGGCTAAGCTAGGAGTCTACGTCAAACTCGAGACTACCCGTCTGTTAGGATTTGATCAAATGTATTCAGCAACATGCGACATAAATCTACTTGCTGCTGCTATTAGCTCACGAGTTCGTGATCTACCGAATGGAGTAGAGTTGAACCAAAGGCTTGAATGAGTATAGAGCGGCTTCAACTTTCTCTCGTGAAAGACTATTGTAAGGCCCGTTCAACCCTCAAAAGCTCCGTACCCGGACGAGAGGAACGACTGAGTCAGTATGAATCCAACGTGATCGCAGTAGCTCAACCACATCTTCGTGTCCCTTCTTTGACGCAAGCATCATCGCTGTGTCCCCAAACTTAGTTGTCGCCGAGATATCAATCTTGTCACTAGTGAGCAACACTTCGACAACGTCTTCAAGCCCCTTCACTGCCGCAAACATCAGTGCCGACATTCCATGCTCGGTCTTCATGTTAACGTCGACCCTATCAACGCCAATCAGTAGCTTGACTATGCTCGTGAAGCCTGCCGCTACTGCTTCCATTAGGGGCGTCCAATCTCCAGTGGGTTCCCCGTTGACTTCAGTCCTCTCGTCGCTGAGCAGTAGTTCAACGATGTCCAAGTTTTCATTCGTCACGGCCATCATTAAAGCTGTACACCCGGTCTTGTCCTGCGCGTTGACTTTGAGCTTGTCAGAGCTCAGAAGCATCTTCACGATTTCCTTTCCTTCTTTTCTCACCGCTTGGATAAGTGGCGTTGGTCGCGCTCCAGTTGCGGCTCCATGATTAACGTCGACGCCAACCTTGACTAGCGCATCAACAGTGTCTTGTTCTCGATACTCTATCGCCCACATTAGTGGTGTGGGTATAGAGTACTGCGTCTTCATGTCCCCAGTGCTATTGTGAAACAGCAGTTCAAGCACTTTCATATTCCCATGCTTGGCAGCCCAACGGCAATGCATCCCAAAGCTCCCATCCAGCTCATTCAGTTCTGCGTTTCGAGATTGAATCAAGCTAGCGCATAGCTTTTCAACGTGGCGGTGGTCTCTCGAAACATACCATATGTGATGTTGCCAACATGTTTGCGCATAGCCATAGAACGTGAATTCGTGCTCTGGATTTGAGTTCATTGAACCACGCAGTTCTGCAAGGGTCTTGCTGAGATCGAACTTAGGCTGCTTTCTAGACCCGAGAAGTTTCTTCGCAAGCTGTCGAGTAGTGCTGGCATTACCCATAGTGCTTTGCAGGATGCTAGCCGGCGCTGAGCTTGCCATCATGGGACTGAGCTTAGTTTTCGATATCCGTGTTTCGAAATGGCTATACCCAAGATACGTTACAACAATGTCTGCTAACACTATTTGGGCGTCTTCTAATGAGAAACCTATGTGTCTCACGTCGTCAAGATTGTGGATGATGTACTGCTTGACACTGTGATGTATCACTCGGACGGTTGATTCTTCCTCATCAACAGTAAGAAGACATCCGCAGCAGGTTAATGCTGATTGAACATCGTTTAACATCTTAGATGGGTCCCAAACTGCATGTCCTGGATCAACGCTTAAGGCTTCTCTCAACTCACTGGTCGTCAGGGGTCGGTGAGCTGCCAAAACGATCTCCAGAGTCTTTGCCTGAAGGCATGGATCTGAAATTCCTGACTTGTGCAAGATGCGGGCAAACGTTTGGGCCAGGTCTTTCGGCAGGTCTCCCAAGGCTTCGCGGATAGTGTGATCTGTCTTCATACTACATAAAGACTGGATCTGAAGAGCTGCCCAGAGGAACATCCCTTGGGAGCCCTGAAGTAGCGTGTCTTGAATGTCCAATATTAGGGTAGAATCTCCGATGTTCAAAAGATCCTGGTCCAGACAACGATAAAGTTCTGCTTCGATGAAGCTCTCGATATCCGGGTTGCTCTCCGGTATTGAAACGATACGAGCATCCAGGAGGCGACGTGTAATCGGGTGCGGACCTAAAGTCGAGTTTACTAGGTCAGTAGTCATCTCGCATACAGCTCGTTCAGGGATATCACTGACCTCTTCTTGGCTCTACCCGAAAAGAGACACAAACAAAGACCTTTAGCTTTGCTTGGATATTCCTGATTGCTTGTGCCAGCGTTGCTGTTTCCTCGTCAGGGCATTCATCTAGTCCATCTATGACGAAAAAGGTTTTGTGACCCGGAGGATAGCTCCGAATGATAATTTCCAGTAATTTGTCAACGTTTCCGGTAGCGTGCTCATACTCGCATACTTCTGAAAGTGTGCCGAATTCAGAAACGCTCCGCAGCATTTGCCGCCCCAGCGAGCCAAGAATGGTGCGTGCTTGCAGACTTTCTGGTAGATCATGCCTGCAGAAGAAGTATGCTACCAAGCATCGATCCTTTTCCGTAGAGAGGCTGAGATCGTCCACGATGTTGGCTAGCAATACAGATTTTCCAGATCCTAGCTTACCAGTAAGTACTAGGGTGCAAGGATGCGAGTGGTCCCTCCACTCTTTGTACTCGTGGAAATGTGTATAGAGCGATGTATTTCCGACCTTTCTTATCTGCTTCCATGTCGTTTCGTGGTCGTACATGGAACAGAAGTCGAGAACTCGCTTCTTCGCAGCAAGTTTCTGTTGGTAAGATGCGGAATTCAACATTGATCGAGATAAAGCTCTAAAACTAGAGCTTTCTTGAGCTTCACCCACATGCATCTCTTTCTCAATCGCATGTGCCCATTTTCCGAGATCAGACTGAAACGCTTTCACATGTCCATCACTCAAGGACGACGTGAATTGCTGGAGCGTTGACTTCTGCCCGAACCTGAACAGATAACGACATAAACCAACTACCACGATGAAGTACTCCAGGGTATAGGCCTGCAACCTTGTCGAGAGCGGATAGATTACAGCAATCTCTTGATGGCGTGGACAAGAACGACCAATGTCCATGAAGATTGACGATAGTGTTTCTACGTGGTTCGATACGCTCACAAACGACTGCATACTGTCAGTGAATGATGTGGATGCGATGATAACAGCGGTTACGGACCAGCAACGACATGCGCACCAAAGACCACACACCACATGCTATCAGATTTTGTGAGCCTCCAACCATTATATCCCCAAGTGCAGCAAATTGCTGAACAGCTTGGAGGAAGTTTGTGAAGCGCGGCCCAAGGCATCGACTGCTGAACTTCTTCGATATGCGACGGTCCACTTCAGCCGTCAGTCGCATGACATCACTTGGTGTGGGTGTCGCCAAAAGCGTTTGCGACTTCAGAGTGCGAAACGCGGACTTCTGTTCGCTTGACAATTCGGCTTCGAATTCGGAAACAGCTTGAGCGAGACGGATTTCTGGACTGAGCGACCCAGCTCTAGCCAGAGCTTTGGACATAGCTGTTGTCCCACAGCGACAGAACTACAGCGTGATCAAGAGATGAACATTACGGTAATGTGAACAGGGGTGTGATTGGGGTCGCGATGTAGCTCAACTCAGAGTCGCACAGTCGGAGGATTAGGAAGATATAGAGTGGCGTCTAATGTGAGTGAGGACGTGAAGAATGAAAAGACAAAAGGAGGCTGCGATGTCAGCGCGCAGCTTGTAGAGCTGCCTAGATGCTGCGCACCAGGCTGAGTATGGCTGCGCATCTCAGCCGCGACCTCGGGACCCACTCCCTATCTGAGACGTTAACCACCATTGATAATGCAAAGCTGCGAACGAGAACGATGCGATCCAGAATAGATGAGTTGAGACGAAGATACAACATTTGGGCAAAAGATCGGGGTCGTCCGGTCTTCGAATTCATCACATTAGCCAGACGGGGTGACGTCATAGGCACTATATTGGCAAGCACGTGGTTCGGCATGACTTGACCCCCAAACCGCAGCCGGCACAGATCGCAGTATCAAACACAGCACTGAACGTTCACGGAAGGTAAGGTGCGACTCCCTGTACGCAGGCGTAGGCATACCAATACGCACCACGAAGAAAAAGAACGAAAGCAGATGCAACACCAGAGCGACGAGAGCGTGTGCTAAAATTGAAGGTATGTTCCGCATGCTATAAGCTGCTTTTCACTGTTTCCTAGAACATGATTTGTATATCCATCGCACACGCGTGTTCCTCAACCACTCTATTTGTTCAGCTCCTCAGCCCTCTTCTTGAGGTCCTCCTTGCTCTCCGCCTTGGGCATGTTGTCCGGAATGGCTGGGCCCTATAACTACATTAGCTTCCGTTCCGGCCCAGATGTATAACAACGGCACACGAATAGCATACCTTGGAGTTGTGAGCTGAAGCGAGTAGGTTTCCGCCCTCGGCGTGGTTGTCGTGCGAGGATGCGGTCGAGTCGGAGGACTCCTTTGCGATCTTGTCGGTGAGGCCTGTGGAGATGACGCGTCAGTCATGGCTTGAGTAGGCTGGGTGGTGTGGTGAGTGGGAAGAGAAGATTGTCACGTACTACCAGCGGCGCCCTGCTCAATTGGGTGGTCCGGCATGTTTGTTTAGGTCGATGTGGTGACTTGTTGTTTCTGTCGTCGAGGTTTCGGTCCGCCGATATAAAGGAACCCTTTGACGTAGGCGTCTACTTTGTCTTCAAGAGACTGTTCTTTCAAGTCGAGGTTCTTGACGTCCTGTTCGAGTGCGGCTGTCTCGTTGACTTTGTTGTCGGGCAGGTCGCGGAGGTTGGGAAGTTTATTGTAAAGGGCTTGTACTTCTTCAGAATAGGCTTGCAGTTCGGCAATAGAGGGGGTTGAAGACATGGCTGGTTATGTAGGCCTGGGCGTTGTAGCAACCGCGTAGTGCGTGATCGGTGACGTAGATGAGTGTGGCAGGCCCGCGGCTGGAAGCTGGCTGGAAGGGGAAGCTGCCGCTGGGTGGTGGGGGAGGGGCAGCCCTTGGCACCTGGGAACTTTGGTTCTGTGGACGCGGCCAGCACCGTCCAAGACTACTGTGGAGAGGTCGGTGGGTAAACAAGATATCTTGCATGCCTATCATGGATCCTGTGTCGGCGGCTTCTCCGTGGTAGATGCTGGAGGTGGTTGGGTCACGTGTTCGTCCAACAAGCCAGCGTGTATTTCTTTCAAGAAGGATGTTGCTGCACACGCCGAGATGGTAAGGGACGCGTAACTAGGTTGGATGTCAATGTAGGCTTCATATTATACGGTGCGACGCCGGCGTACCTAACCACAAGCCAAATGAGACTGGAAGAGGTATGTTCTTTGAAGGCCTTGGAATTGAACTGCACCCCAACTACATTGACGCTCAGTATGTCTTCGCAAACACCTACCGAGGGATACTGAACCTACTGTAGAACATCTGCTTTACCGTTTGTACGACAAAAGCGAGGAGACCACATAAAGCTATCTGCGGAGCGAACCGACCGGTGACGCACCTGCCTTCCAATGTCGAACGCAGTGCGCCCGGCCGAGCAAGTTGGCACAAGTAGGCTAGGTGCAGGTTCACCTCGAAGCAGCTGATGCTGGTCTTGGTCGATAAGACAGTGTCGCCTTGTATACATGCTTGCGCCCCGTATAGGTTGTCAAAAGCGGCCCATTGTTCCATGGGCCTGAACAAAGGCGCATGCCATCTGCCACCGGGCAAGCTGTGAGGGCGCAGGCAGACGTAGAGCACATCATACCACCCACTCAACAAACCCACGAGACACCAGACAGCAATCCAGGATCGGGGTTTGTGAGTGTATGGCATCATTGATGTGAAGTAAGTGGAACGACATGGCACCTTGGGAGACGACGTGCTCTACATATGTCAATGTCGGATATCGGATGGAAGTGCACGCTCTCTGCCGTTCTTGCCGGATGGTACCTGTTGAACGCGTAGTACCCTACAAGCTTTGGGGAAGACGATCGTGCCATGTAACCGGAATGGCATGCGACGATGTCGGGTTTGTTGACGTTCGGCGCTCTCTTGTTGATGGCCTGCCGCGAGGCGTCACCAGCATTGCGTACTCCCTCCCCGCTGTCAACTCCACTCCGCGCCTTATTATTGCCAACCATGGAAAAGCTACTGCGCGCGATCGAAAAGCGAGGACACAATCTTGCACTCGGGTCTAAATACGATAGCGCCACGATAGGCTTTGCGGGGAAGAAGCGCTGTGTTGATGCGAAACGCGGATTAGCGGCTAACTCAGCCACGGCGACCGCGTCGGCATGGGTGCTTGGCCATGTCCCGCCCCTTCCAAGCTTCACGGCCGTTTCGCCTTTGGCACCCAGCGTCATTCCAGGGGACGTCAAAGCAAGCGATGCACCACCACATGACCGCGACACTCACTCCTCGCCTTATACTTCCTCCTTGATGCCGTGGACTCCTGCAGCGACATGAGGCACGTCCTGTCCCGTCGATCGTTATATCCCCATCCATAGCCATATACCCCGGCCGGCCTCTGTACCGCGAACGACTCCCTTAAACCCGCTGGACGGAAGACTTGAACACTCGATATCGCCATGCCGTCGCTACTCGTCCACTCGCTGTTTGCGCGCCAGAATCCGCTGGATGAGGCCAAGAACACGCTCAGTTCATGGGACAACTGCATGGCCAAGGCCTACTGCAAGTGCGTTGAATCGCCAGGCCTCGGGCTGCTTCCCCTTTGCTCACAGAGAACAGATGGCCGGTTATCGTCGTAATCATCATTGGCGCCCTCATCGTCATATCCGTGGTTACCTGCATAGCGCGATGCATATGCTGCGGCGCCGAGTGCGCGTGCTGCTGCTTTAGATGCTGCACGTGTTGCTGCAGCGGCAGTGGTGGAAGAGGCCACAAACGCGTCAAGAGCGATCCCGCCGCCCCGTATCCCACGCCATATGGAGCGCCTCCTCCGCCCATGAACCCCTACAACCAGAACCCCTACGCCCAGGCGCATGCCGCTGCGCCGCCGCCTCCGCCCATCGACACCCGCCCGGTGAACCAGCAGTATCGCTCCAACGCCATGCCCACCTTCGCGCCAGCCGCGCAGCCCGAGAGACCGCAGTTCGCGACTTTCGATTCGACAAGAGCCGTCGTCAACGAAGATTCGCTTCCCGCAATGCCCACGTGGAAAGACGGGCGCGACGTCCACGTCCAAGTCGAGGAACAACCCATGCCCCAGAAACAAGGCGACATGGAGATGGACAGGCTAGACCGCAACGGCAGTCCAATCAGTGGATCAATGGCAGGCGTAGCAGCGGCAGCCGTGCCCACACAAAGACGATCGCCTGGCCCGGGCCGGTCCCCGGTATCGCCAATGGACAACTACGGTCAGGGCTACCCTCAAAGCGGCTATCAAAACGATTCATTCGTCAGCGAAGGAGCCCCGTTGAACGGCCAGGGTGCATACGGCCGACCATACGCGCAGCAGGACGACTACCGCAGAGGTTCGCCAGCGCATAACCTATCACCAGTCTACAGCGCAAACGAAGGATACGCACCACAGCAGCCGCAGCAGCAGCAACAACCCTACGGCCGCCGCTCGCCAGGCGCGCCCCAAGCCTACGACTCCCACGACCAGCTCAGTCAATACAACCAGCAACCTCCCTACAACCAACAACCTTCCTATAACCAACAACCTTCCTACAATCAACCACAAACCTACGACCAGCGCGACTACTACGACGAACCCGACCACCGCCACCAATCCCCCTCACCACCTGCCGCGAACCCCTACGCCTACAACAACGACCCCTCCCCGTCGTACGGTACCTACACGCCCCCACCAGCACCCGCAGCGTTGCAACCCGGCTACGCAGCCTCAGAGTCAACAAACCATGGCTCTTTCACAAATGCGGCGCCAGCATACCCAGGGCAGAGGTCGTATACGCCGGTGGCTGGAAGTGTGGGGCAGCAGCAGCAGCCATATCGCGCTTTCACACCGGGCGCGGAACAGCAACAACAACAACAACCGCAGCAGCAGTATACTGGGGTTAGTAGGAAACCTGTTGACGGGTCTTTTAGGGAAATATAGAAATAGCATGTATGTTTTCGTATGTAGGGAGAATGTGATACCCATACAAACAACCCCTTTTAGCGAATCTTCACTTTCGTCTATTGCGAAAGGACTGTCAGCGCGGCCATGCGGTTCTAATTTTACAATAGTCGCGGGGCCAAGCGCTTTCACGACAACGTCGCAATGCTTCGTTTGTCTAACTTGACACCCGGAAGGAAACCAACATAGCGCATGCATGGCGAGCAGTGATATAGCATCTACGGTGTCTTTAAAGCCAGCTTACTTAAGTAGAGCGTCTTCGTCAGACCAGAAGCTGCTTCTCCCTTAATGAACATGATACTCGAAAAACAGGTTGTCGAGTGCAACATCGCCGCCATTGTTCATATTTACAGGCTTGTCAACCGTAGCGGGACCTTGAAGAGAAGTAGGGCTGATGATCTCGACCGCATTATTCGGCCCATCGCGCTTGCGCACTACTATCCAGCCCGGTAATCCACATACCAGCAAGGCTCGATCATCGACTTTAGTCTCATCTGAGCAAACCAACAGGCAAAACGCTCCAGGTATCGCAGATATGCTGACGTAGCAAATTTTTCGCTTAAGCTCAGCAATCAAGTTGCACAAGCAGATCTGAGTTGACATAAACTTACGAAACCATCTAGGAACTTTAGTGCCGTCCATCCAGAGACTGAGGTATGCTTCCAGGCTGTCTCTTTTCGACCCGGAAAGAATCTTTGCCCAGCTGGTTCGATCTCTCGGGCTTGGCCATGGAGCCCCGGCGCTAATTGGCGCAAGAGCGTTGAATGGCTGCGTATAGAAGATGGCGTAGATCTTGCAGCCAATAGCTTTCGCCCAATCTGCCCATTGGAGTATGCTTCGTAGATTCTGCATATGGGCATGTCTTTCATCCGTCTCCAATGCTGTTACCGTTATCAGAGAGAAGGAAACACAACCGCAAACGACACCAGTTTCCCTAGCAAGCACCTTCAAGACGCTCTGAGTAGAGTCTAGGGATATCAGTTGACGAGCACGATGCTTACTGAGTCTGTCCTCTGACTCTGGTGAAGTAGCTATTCCCTGAAGATCGGTCCCTGGGAATCCTGGCAATTCCCGCCAGGTGTTGCTATTGAAGGTAGACCAATCAGGGATCCACGATGGGGTACCTGGTAGCCGTCGCGCAGCGGCGATGTGCAGGAATCTCAAATTGCGAGTGGCTTGGATCAGATGAATAGTGAGCTGTCGATAGAGCAGAGGGATCTGTCGTTCCTTCGCGACGTCATATTTCGGCGCAGAAAGATTGCTTGCTCCACGTTTGCGTAAGATAGCCCAGATACCGTATGCCATGTCTCTTGGATCGGTAGCTGCTCTCTGGTACAGCGCGCCCACCAAGTCGTCGGACGCAGTCTCCTTGATGTCGCCTCGATAGGTTTGATAAGTGGGACGCACAGCGAACCAGAAGAACATAAGACAATACACCGTTCCAAAACAACCGATGAACATGAACGCATTCTCAGTCTTGCCCCCAAGTTGAAAACGTACTCCCCACCGAGGATAATTTCGAGCGCAGATGGACACAACACCGACTAAGAGAGACGTCGTTGTGTAGGTCAGCAATAGACCAGAAAATGTACTCAGCAACCATCTTCGCGTCGAGAGAATCCTCTTAACGATAGTCTCATGCTCGTGAAGAGTATGAAGCACGCTACGTTCCGCTGGTTGATTAATCGATTGTAGGTTTCCTCTGTCAAAAACGATTGCCTCCCAAGCAATAGCGGCTCTCGGAAAGTATCTGAATGAAGTCCTTAGGGAGAGCAGTGTCCACTCGAAGTCAGACCACCGCACGTGTTCAGTTCCACACACAATCACTGGGTGGGAGGCCAGCAGGATCTCTTGATAAGTCCACAGTCGGTTCTTCCACGGCCGGTCGAAAACGTAGACGAGATCCATTCCTGAGACGTATTGCACCCGACTGGTAAACCTAGCCAGTAAAGGCTTATTGTTCCCTGGCTACGTTAGCCTAATACACTTGGTAGACGGGTGAGTACTCACCCCAAAACGGTTCCGGGTGGTGCGTGAGACTCCAAGAGGAGAGCCCAAGACGCAGCGCTGCAACAAAAGGTCGATACTGCGTTGGTCCATTCGGCACGATTCTCACATATCTACGAAGACCGCCCTTCGCCAGATATTTCATGACGCGGTCGGATTTCTCATCACCCGTCCCCAACCAGACATACACTTGCTCAGCCTTTGAGTAGATATCGCCCATAAGAGGAAGTTGCCACGCTTTTTCCTTTCTCACGTCTTCTTGGTCAATGCAAATCGCGTCTACCCAGATGACGAGACCTTGCAGCTTCTTACTGAGGTGCCACAAGGCTGAATGACAATTCTCGCCTACACCAAACACAATGCCGTCGCATACAATGCTGCGCGTGGGAGTTGAGTCGCCCCATACGTATGATAATGCTGTGAACGCGGGATCAAAGTCGAGATCGATGATGCGTAGAGTGCATTCGACTGGTGTGTCCTTGGTGGCATCTTGGGGGATCGGTCGCACGTCGAGAACGCGTATGGTTCTTGTATTTGGACAAAGAACATGCTTTTCGTACACGGCTTGCTTTTTTGATGAACTGTTTTCGGCTTGCTCTACACATAAGACCGCATCGGCCATTGTTGTTGGTACACTGAGCGTGCAAGGCTGAGATGTAGGTAGTGCAAAACTTCGAGATAGTATGGAAGTATAGTGACAGCTTTGCTGCCAGATTAGATTGAACGTTCCCCAGAAGCGAAAACAGTAAGGTGTGTGATAGAAATTTGTAAAGCATGAAGACAGGGAAATGGTATACTGTCGCAAAGGACATCAGCAAGCAAGGCTGAGAAACACTAGTCACAGCCTAGTCTGCCTACGTGCACACCACCAGCACTTTACCCCGCGACTGTTGTATAATTAGAATCGTGTGGCTGTAATCGTAGTTCTCACAATCATGACTGGATAGAATAGAGCTTATATATCCAGGTCTCTTGTCGATCGATTACTGGGCTGGCGGTATGAGCTTTTACTTCTGTTCTGGCTCACACGAGCCAGCGTGAAGAGTAGCGGATACAAAGCCTCATTGGAAGGTCTTCGTATAATAGTTCTCAACAAAATCTCGATATCCGGGTCATCGCTAACGCGACCCACGTAGCGACGACATAGAGAGCTTGAGCGCTGTCAAGGGAAAGCCGGATCGAGTCGCAGCAGCGTGTCGTGCCTTATACCTGAGTGGAGTGGAGTGACAAATATGAATATGCCTTTTTGCAAACAACAAGAGGTTGGAGCCTATCTTACTGTTGTCCTGAGCAGTCTTGCACGGGTCGCGTGCTCTCGCGAGTCGCTCCTGCTACCTGTCTGCGTTTGCATTCGGGGCGACGGGCGTACAAGGCAGCGTGAGAGTCTGATTGCACGGAATCATGTGAATGCGACGTAGGAGCTGATAGAGATAAGAGCAGGGCAGGATAATAAAAAGTTAATTAGCGGCCTTAAGCTCTAGTTTATGTTACACTTTATAGAGATAAAATTTTATTTTATTTAATTACTAATAATACTACTAAACTTAATAATTTTAATAAGTTAGCTAGCCTAATAACGCTAAATCTATAATATATAACTTATTTATTTATAATAGTAAAGCTATAATTACTATTTTTAATAGCTATTTATAATACTTCTAAACTTAAATAACTATTTTTCTAACTACTATAGTAGTATTAAACTATATAGTAATTATATTTAGTTTTTTTACTTATTACTATATATAAGTAATAATATCTACTTTATTTATAAAATGTTTTTTTTTTCTAAAAATAATTCTTTATATTTTTTTTTATAGTACTTAGTTTTTTTTTTATTTTTACTATTATTTATAATACTTTAATATTTTATATTACTAGCGCTTTTTTTTATTTATTAAGTTAACTATTACTTTAGTATACTTTTAGAATAATTATATAAAGTATAAAAGTATTAATTATAGTAGTAAATACTTTTACTTTATTATTTTTATTTTTATAAAACTTAATTTTTCTAATATCTTAAAAGTATATATTAGTAGTATAGAAGTAGATCTAAATTTTACTAAGGTTTATAAAGTACTTAAAAACTTAATTTAAATAATATAAAATAAAAATATTAAAAATCTAAGCTATAAAACTAATATAAATATTTAAAGTAAAGTTAAAAAAAGTAAGTCTTAATAAAAAAAGTAACTATAGTTTTTATAGTATAAAGTTAGAGTCTTTAAACTTATACTAAAACTAGCTTTTACTTTTAAAAGCTTTTTAGCTAGTGTTATAGACTAGCCTTAGAGTTAGAATATACTAAGTGTTAATAGAATATTATAAGGCTTAGAACTTAAGAAGCTATATATAGAATCTAGAGGTTTATATAGTAAGTCTAGATCTTACCTATATCTTTTTTATTCTAGCTTAGGCTTAGGTAAAGCCTAAGACTATTATATACCTCTAAACTTACTTCTATTATATTAGTTAGAAAAGTAGTATAGTATTATAGAAAATACTTCTACGCTAAGGTTATAGGCCTAATAAATAATACGTAGAGATAGGTTTATATATATAAAGTTTTTAGACTATATAAAAATTTTATCTATATAATTTCTACTACGTCTATATATAGAGTTATAATAACTCTAAACTATATCTAGACTAGAGTTATATTATAATTTTTTATAATTATAATATAGCTTTTATCTAAGGCCTTACTTATACTCTAATATAACTTACTTTTATTCTAATCTACTCTAAATTCTTTACTTTATAACTTTTATACCTACCTTTTTTAAAAACTTATTAGTTCTAGACTATATTTATATCTTTTATTATAAAGTTCTATATTATTCTTATCTAGCTTATAGCTCTAGTGCTATTTACTTTAGCTAGTTCTCTTAATACGTAAAATAGTAGTACTAGTGTTACTACTACTAGCGCCTCTAGTAGCTAAGATCTAAGAAAGCTAACTAGTTTCT